TCAATTGTTATCAATATCTTCGGTTTATTTTTTCTTACTTTTTCCACTGAAATCTTTGACCCATTCGATATTTATTGTACCAGACACGTCCAATAAGAGCTATACTAAAGACAACAATACTAAATACAGGTAATATATTATGTGCAATTCCATCATACATGGTAATTGCTGCACTTGGATATGCGCAATTAGTAAGACCACATCGAGTTTTTGCATAATTAAGTGGAATTGAACAAGGTATAATAAAAAACATCACCATATAATAAATAAGTGGATAAAGAGTAAATATAATCATAGGTAAATAATGAGCAAATAAACGTTTTGTTCGTGTTGAAACTAAATTTTGATGAAAAATAAGAATATGTCGTTCAATTGATGCCCAAGCAACAAGAAGTGTAATTGATACAAATGGAGCAAAATCTATATATGCCCATAAAATACAGAATATGTATGCATATGATATTGGAGAAATAGTACGATAAAAATGAATTAACCATATAATATCAGTTATATTATATAAGAGACAAACAGAAAGAATAAGAATAATGATATGATTGTAAAGAGCTTTACGAAGTGTTCGATCAACAATAAAATGATAAAGATTAAAAATAGAACATAAAAGTGATGGAATGACAAAGATAAGATAAATCCAACAACGAATAATATATGCTATTACCATGTTTAAGATAAAAATGAATATGGATAATGAAATAAAATATAATATAATAGTAATGTTGTGTTTTTATATTATTTAGTTCTTTTTATAATGTAAACGTCAGAAACGTTTTTCTTTATAGTAAATAGTAGAAAAGAATTATATTTTACAATTAAAATATACTGTCTATAGCAGATAAGATACGTTGATTCTGTTTTAGAAATGCTATTAATAATAGGAATAAATCTTAAATAAATATATTATCATACTTTGGAAGATGCTGTTCAAAGTTAACGTCTTTTAATGAGATACAAGAATTTAATTTTTTTTTATCAATTAAAGATTATAGTTGCGAAAATACTTTCTGAACTAATAACTCATATAAATAAAACTTTGATATATGTATGTATCAGTTCAAAACAAGTTTTATCTGGATAAGACTTTTGACATATCTTATATTATTAAGTTTTTTCCTTGTACGTCATTTTAACTGAGAATTTAATTGAATCTTTCATGAAGCTTCTAATTTGTTCTGGAAGTTTAAATTTTCGAAATAGGTCTCTATTGTGATCATACTTTATTTATGTTACAGCTAGACTTACATTAACTAACAATTATAAAAATGCTCGAGAATTGATGAATTTGAAATTTTATGCTGTATCATTAATATTACAATCCCAATAATAATTTGGAAAGAGGTCAAATATTGACTATGAGATTTTTAATACGTAGTATATTTTGAAGAGATCTGTGTTTCCTAATATTACTTAGAGGGTGTGGGTGTGAGTATTATACCCATCACATATTCTCAACCACACCCAAAATCTAATGCCAAGATCTATCTACATCCTCAAGAATGAATCAAAATCAAGATGAGATGAGTCTTACTTACGAGATAAGTCTTGCACATATGAAGTTAATCGATGTCAATTGAATTAGCTGACTGAACTGCAGTTTCAATGACTTTTCAGATTTTGATAAAGTCTATACAATCAGTAGAGTCCATAGAATTAACTATTTTCTTTTATAATCTAAATGGATAAGATAAATTCATCTAATGCATTGTTTCAACTTTTATTTGATTTAACATTAGCAATGAAATTCAAAAGTGATTACGGATATATTTATCATAATTAATAAACTTTATTTTCTATTTCTAGCAATAGAATTACGAGAAAAATAGAACTAAGCGACATAATTAAGGAACTATTTTTATAAAATTCTTCTGAAGTTAAAAGAATATGCACTTTATTACTTTAGTCGGTCAAAGTCATTTATATTTTATATGTTTTTAAAACTATCAAAATCCATCATAAGAAATGGAGATATTATAAAAAAATTATTTTATTCCATTTTTACATATAAAGTCACATTTATGAATGAAAAACATATTTTTTCTTAAGGCATCCCCCCCACTCAAAAACTTTTCTCAGGATTGGCTCATGCGAATCGCA